AATTTTCAGCTGTAACACACACGCGATCGAAACGGTAAAGCGAACAACACTGTAACCTTACAATGTGCTCCCGGCAGTATGATTCCCTTTAGCAACGAAAGCAGCCTAATGAAAGCTTACGGGTTGGTTGGAAGCCAGGCATGAGGTGATAACAGCTTTTGTGGCGAGAGCAATACGGAACCCATCGACCGGTCATCACATATGGCCATGCTGTTTTCTCTATTGCTAGCACAGCGACCTATTAACCACCTCGCAGGGAAGCCATTTTGCTGGCATTTCACCTGCATGAAGCTCGACTACCGATCGATCGAAGCATGACATGTTCAGTGCGGCTATGTGGTGTCTGGCTAACGTCCAGTTCTCACAGCTCAACGACGTGCGGTGCGTTGGTCTTGCGTTGCGGTCGAGGCATGACGCATTCATTGCGGCTGTGGTGTTTGCTAACGTTCAGTTCTCACAGCCGAACGGCTCGGTGTGCTCTGCGATCGTAGGCACACATGTCGCGTCTCGGTGTCCCATCAAATCCCTGCCGCAAAGGAATTTTTGCCACTGGACACAGCCGTTCAGCGTACCGGTATACGTCGCACTTGAGTGCAGCCGCTCCTAGCTCCGGACATGATTAATAAAACACCAATTTTATCAACCTAACAATCACACGTCAGGCGGTTAGCAGTGCCTACCTTATAACCTTCAACCATATTGTTGCTTGATTCTTTAGCCGTGAACAGCCCTACATGCACTGGGGGAATTGCTTCCTTAGGAACCACGTACTCAACCACACAGTTTGTCCCTGTGTTTTGTCGGTCACAATGTTACCCATACTCGCTTCCACAAATTGCACTCGGTTTAATTCATGGAAGTTTAATGTGCGCGCCTTACTTCTTAGCGGACAACAAGATGGACTGCCACACACCGTCAGGATGCGGCGGGTGCACGCTACTGATATGTCCATATTGAATGAGACGGCCGTTTAGCGCTTTCCTGGATGTGTGGTTTCTGTCTGGAGGAATCCAACTTTGGCGAATTTTTTCAACAACCCTGAAGACCCAGTTTATATCTACTGTCTGACTGAGACACGACTTCAGTATTCCACACAATCTATCAGTTGTCGTCAACACTCCATTCTCACACCCCTCTTCCATCCGCCTTTTTAGGGGCGCTGAGTCAACCGCATCAGGGCAAGCTAGCTTTGTGATTGTACGCAGTGCACGAGTGTAGATCCCTCTCCTTGACTGCTTTCCAATCAACAGGCCTTTATGTGCTATTAGAGTCCTTGGCTGTCGTGAGATTAGCAAACGTCGACCCAACAAGCGTGCTCTTTTGTGATTACTACATACGCAGCTGCGTACTGCAGGTAGGATACAGGTAACGATTGATACTATCAAAACTTCCATTTTCTGCTCCTAAGGGTGTTTAAAACGGTTAGTACCATCACGGTAAGTGATTTGAAAACAGACATGAGCAGTACGTCAACACGCAGTACGACGCTTCGCTGCCGCGCAACCATCACTATTGCTACGTGGCCTAAGGATCATGTGAGGGTCTCCCGTCCCTACGCAGTCTCGAACCCCCGCCCTCTGATTACAAGACGTGTTTGTAATCCTTAGGTTACGGGCCAAGAGATATACACTTACATGCCAGTCAGTTACTGCCACGAGAACGCCACCTCGGTGGACCACATGAATATGACGATGCTTGTTCTGAGAATGGAGAAGACCGAGCGGCCTAACTGCCGGCCACCAGCTTTGCCTTTCCAGCACGAGCCTTCGCTACCTTGGCATTCCCCATCATGAACCCAGTGTACGTCGCAAGTTGACCAAATAGCCATAATTCAAAAGCGACAAGACAGCACACCAGATTACAGATCGTATTGATCAGCTTGTGTCGCTTGCACTGGTGTGCGCGACAAATTGCATGAGCTACGGTGACTGACCTAGGCCAAGCAAATGCGATTGAACATTTGCAAACTGTAAGATCCAACACTACAAACGGGGTATCATCAGAGTTTCCATGAAGACCTCGTTCTCTCCTCCTCTGGATTTTGATCAGCCTTCTTCGTCTTGGAACAAGCTTTACTCTCCGCAGCTTTGTCCATTTGCGGTCTCACCTGCTGCAATGCCAAAACCTGAATTTCGGCAGGAACCTCGGATTTAGTAGATGGCCAACGAGCAGGGCTCACCGGTGAGAAACACAACGAACTCCTCCTCTCTATCTCACAACAGCCAAAAGCAAGCCTTCGCTCTGGTCGCTAATCCCCGTGTTCAAAATAGCCTCCGAGATGGAAGCGGCTGTAACAACGGGAAACTTCCGTAGTTGATTCTACCTCATCAAGCCTCCTGGTTTCAATTTCCACAGTAGCAATTAGCTAATCTGCGAGTTAGAAGGCGAGAAGATTACTAACCTAGACTGGACAAAGGATTTTTCTTTTCAATTGAACTATCCAGCACAGCCCTTTGTGACACCTCCGTTTCAATCAGATGGTGCTTGGCCCGTCCATACTGATCCTCCATCTGAAGCATTGATCCAAAACGCAATCCCATCTTCCAAATGGCAGAAAGCAGCCGGCTTTGATAGTTTCCGCAGGTTCTATTCAAACTGTGTGGAACATGCTTACCAAGGAAATAATATCACTGCTCATGAAGATTTGAAGTGATGAGAAGTTTCTCAACTCCTTGTCCGGATGCGCAAGGAAGACTCCTGCGAATATTGCCGTGGAATTTCAATAATTGCTATTGTGTCCATCTATCTCGTAAGCGTCTAGCTTTACAGGTTTTCAACACTAGGATTGCACAAAGAGGAACAAGCCGGTTTTCGCACAGGCTGAATTTGCATCAGCCAAATCCTCACGTTTCGTCAACCTCTCGAGCCACGCCGTGTGCATTTCCGGCCAACATAGTGTTCTTGGAAATCCGACCGGTATTTGATGAAATAGGTAGATCTGCGTTGTGGAACTGTTTACTAAGAAAGAGTGTACCAGCAAAGTATGTAAACATCCTGAAGGAACTATACAACTACAAGTCAGGCATATTTAGAGCTCGTAAAAGGCTTTCCTCCTAGTTTGCTGCTATCAGCGGTGTTCACCTAGGTTGCCCATTTCACATTTTCCTAAACAATTTACCATCTAAGACATCGTCCAACGAGCATTGGAAGGTGTCAAAACCTGGTATGGAGCTTCCCTTCGGCGACACATTTGCATACTTGGAACACGCGGATGTCATACTTAAGCCCAAGGACAGGACGTACAATGCCTCCGTCTGTACGGTCCTCTTGTAAGGCTGTGAGACCCGGTCTGTTGGTTCTGAAGAAATGAAAACGAATCGACAGTTATACGCTGTAGCGGAGCTCCGCTGCCGCGCGAGAGCCACCAGTCGCGCGTGGGGTGAACATATCGCGAGAACGCCCGTTCCTAGACGGATTCGTTCTGATGAATTGAACCGATGGTCAGTCGTTGACTACCGTTGTCTGGAATCGCTTGCTCATGTGTGGTGGTAACATCAGTATTTGGCTCGACCACGTACTGCAATCGTCATTTTGGCGCCCCTCCTTGTCAGACGTCATATACGCTTTCCGGAAGCACATGGAAAATGTCCCGCGGTAAAAAATTAACGACTTCGAAAACGAGAATAAAAAAGCAACCTTAAGGTTAGCGCCAGTGGGGTCAGTATGTCTTCCAGACTAGGTACCACGCGACTCTGAATCCCAGTGAAGGGAAACATTGGATGTTATAACCTACAACAAACAACAGTGGCACCAGTCTTGCTCTGCCGTATCGCCCATTCTTTACTTCACAATCCCAGAACCCAAAAACCGCAAAACGGTATGTGAAAAGCATAATTACTTATTGTTTATTTCCTTTTATAAGTGTTATATATATGTATATTGCTTAGACAACCACGCGATCTTGACCAAATTTCTTGAAGGTGTCATGCACTCATATCCGACGGATGACTACACTTCACAAGATCATGTGGAGGTAATCGCTGCCATCAGTGCCTCTAGCCGAATGATTTGCTGCCTTCGGTGGTTTCACTGTTCTCTTTAGCCTCCTTATCTATTCACAAAAACAACGGTGACCTGTTCTGTTGTGACCACTAAGAATGTTCTGAGACAGATGTACCTTGTACAAATACTCTGCATATGTAAAGCTATTGAACTGAGCAGTACGAAATGTTCTGTAATAGATGTAAATATCGGGATCAGTGGTTTGCTTCTGAGGCGAATCCGTTTCGGAATTTACTAGACGATCAGCATGAACAAGCTACTTACACTTAGGGGCTGAGGATGACACTTCCACTGGTGGTGAAACGTCTGCAACCCGATTACCTAACTCAACAAACAAACTAACAACTCTTTATGCAATCTTACTTCAGCGGGTCGGAATAGGTGTACATATCTGCCTCAAGACTAACACAATGTAAGTAATTTGCTTCAGATAGCTTGCAAGCCCGTCCTCATTATCCTTCTCACGTTTAACAACTACATCGGCCAAATGTGTTCCGTTTACTTGTTCCGGCTGGCTTTCACATAGAACTTTTTATTTGTACGAGGTTAAATCCAACCATGTGTTCATGGGTGCGGTCGCAGTTGTTTCAAAGCGGTTGTCTATCTCGGTGTCAAACACCAGTTGGTCGCCTCCGGAAGTACATAAGATTACCCAAGCAGTTAGACTGCATTCGACATGCTTGTCCCATGATACACATGTACACGGTGTTGTCTTTTTAGCTCCTGATTGCCAGTTAAAAAACAGCAACTGCAACTTCACCAGCACAGAGCAAACCTTGGTCAATGCCAACTGCCTGTTCTCCACAAACTCACACTTTAGACCTGAAAAAGAGAAGTTCCATAGTTTGCAAGAGGCTGCCTGTGAATATACAAGAAACAGAGAGGCCTTCAACAGTTTTATTCATAAAGCTATTTTCTGGTATCAAAGGCATGAGAACGAGTATATTCGTGCACTGAAGTTAATCGGTTTTGGGCTTGCATCGCTTGCCGACCTCAATATGACGCTCAACTTTATACAAGCTCCATTCAGTGAGATTGAGAGATATCTTATCTATGATCTGTTGGGCCCAAACCAAATGGGTGAAGTGGAATGTGCAAAACTGGCTGAAGTGCTCTGGGAAACGTACACTAACCTCACATTTACCAGAGTTGACACGTCCACCTTGTTAAATCAAGAGGAAAACTGGCTTTTGCTCGCATTACGCATCCCCAGTCTCGAAGCGTTTGACACTACACTTAATTTTCATGCGATGGTGACAACCAACTATACAGGAGCAATGCTGTGCCATCTAATTAAAATAAGACAAGAGAATTTACCGTCAAGCGCGATAATTCTGTTCACTGATCCTTCAAAGTACGCCGATACACTTGTTCATTGCGATCAAAGTTTGTACGAACTTGGCTTTGAAGGTGGAAAAAGAACCTTACCCGGCGAAGGTACTTTATATTACGAATTTTCCACTGGTCATATCGATTGTCCTTTGCTAAAGGGTCTTCACAATTTCGGGTACATCAATAAAGGCGAACCCACTCGACCAGAAGTGGGAAGCAAGATTGTGCACTGAGAGAAGCTGGCATTCGATGGATACGTCAGCGCAACAAAGTTGCTGGGCAGTAAAATTTTCGGGTGCAAAAAAACCGAAAATGTATATTTGACACGAAAAAATAAAGTACCGTTTTTAATCGCGGTGTTATTCTTTTTACCACATAGCATAGCAAGATGTTGACGTAAGTTACTAAAAGAAAACACCAAGCATGACCAGTTTCATCCACCTGCACCTATTTTTCGGTTTTCGCATGTAGTTGCTAAGTCTACAGGAAATTATCATTACCCAATGATCACGAGAAAGTCAGGAATCCTGCGCTGCTCACTTTCATGTGTTTGTATTCAATTTGGAGAACTGATTGAGGTTGTACTCGAACCCGATAAAGGACAAACTAGCTCGTCTTTAATTTAAATTAGTGTTCCAATGCTAGGGTTAGCTGCTAATCTCGTAAAGTAGGTCCTCAATTCACCAACAGCCATTGTATCCGATATCAACATAGTACAAACATACGTCTTCTTGTACCACCCCTAGTAAATCGTGAAAATCCACAGTTTGCTTAAAACCCAATAAATAATACCTGGGTAAGAGGCCCAGCTACTTCCATCAATTCCTAACTGTTTTCTCAACTTTTAGAACAAGTTCTTAAATTCGTTCCGTCAAAATCCGTCAGCAAAACAGAACGAGTATTAGCAAAACTTGAACGTTTGACCAGGAAAGATGACAAAGTGTTGAACTACAAAATGGGTGAATATTTGGCCAGTTGGACTGACTTCGAGCAATTTGTTCAACAGGTGGAGAAATGGTATGTCAAAAATTCCAAACGTTATATGCGCTACATGTCTCAATATGCAAGGGATGTAATCTCGGAAGTTGAATTCAAGATGGCGATGCGTGATCTACAAGTTCCTTTCTCCGATGTCCAGACGCATATATTGTACACGTGGTTGGACCCACAACGAACTGGAAAAGTGGAGTTTGCAAGGTTTTACGAAGCTCTGTACCGTGCCTTGTACAGACAGTTTGCAATAGAGGATGAGCAGAGATCCATGAATCTTGAGTACCAAAACAAATGGATTCGAATGGTTTTCAAATCGCCTACATGTGACCCAGTAGAAATGCCCACAACTTTCGAGGCTTTAATAAACTTGGGCTATACTGGATGCATGTTGGCTGAGTTAATTAAGACCCGCCTACCCGCACTTGTTGCCAGAAATATTGTGGTCTTCACGGATCCAGCTCGGTACGCAGAGACACTTGTGCATACCAACCAGAAACTATATGAATTTGATTACACTGGTGGGCCCAAGTGTGCTCCAAAGGAAGGGACGATTTTCTATGAATTTTCAATGGGTCATATCGATTGTCCTCTTCTGAGCAATCTCCGGTCTAAGGAGAGTGAACGCCACAAAGAGGCTGACCTCCTGGGAAAGCATGACGCGATATCTCCTGCCGTGAAGGAACAAACATCCAGTAACTAGCCAACAGCTTTCAAAGACAGTATCTGCTAAATTTGAGTTTATATCACTTATTTTCTATTGGAACATCACTGTCATGTGATCAGAATTGGAAATACATGACGCGATAAACGTTTTGCATTTCATGGCACACAGAAATGGTGTCAAATAAGTACAATTTGCCGCTCCGATTTTACTGTAGGGTCAAATGAACTATTTTGTCGAATAACTGCAAGCCTTTCGCTACAATAACGGACGAAAAAGCACGTCATATGACGACACCTAACAAGAGTCGTTTTGTTGGCCAAAATTGGATTAGTGTTTGTTTACCTTGAATCCGTCAACAGCATACACTACCATTATTTCCATACTTTTGTATACTGTCGTTGCTTTCAAAAAGGTGTCCTGCTTCTTATTAGTCTCCCTTTAGAAAGCCGCCACGTAGTCTGGAACATACGTTGCGTTTGCACCGCTACGACTGTATCGCATTCAACTCACTTCATAGCCTCGGACACCCAATTTTTAACATAACATTTCTCTTCAAAACAATCGACAAATCCTGATTACGACACTCAGATTGGCATGTACATACGTTTTGCGCTTGTCGTGGTTGGTTCAATGTTTTTGCTATTAACGTTTCCATGAGGATCCGCATACTGTGAAAATCTGATGTACACTATTGTTTTGCTTATATTGTCGGTGTGACTGGCAGACTGAATGCGCTGACTTCTCTAATACAAATGGATGTGCGGCGTGAAGGTTGACTGTGACATATTGGTACCTTTCCGCTAACCCATCCGTGTCACTCCCAATCAGCTGGCTTAGGCTAGTCTGGAAAATCATCCAACGCCGGCGTTTCAACCTTCTAAATCTCCTCAGTGGTGCGCCTCCCAGCGGACCCCTGCCGGGTTCTGCTCCTCTGACTTCAGGATGCAAGCAGCTAGTGCCATTTCGCCATGGGTGAAAGCCGCGGACCTGCGTGATTAACAGTTGACCATGATATAGCCCGGCTCAACTTCCAATGTCATGCCAGTTACGAAATGTGCAGAGGACAGGGGCTAACCACAGCAGCTAGGGATTTCCGCAAAGCGCCTGTGTACGACATAGGAATAAAAAGCTATACGGACAGATTTAAGATTACTGATGAGTGGTAGTGAGGATTTATGCTATAATTCGGTATGCCTGCATAACCCATTACAGGGACCGCGCGAACACGCCGCCCATTCATTTGACCTTGCATACACCACGCTCACGTGACCGGTGTGCGCCGCACTCAACGCTGGAAAAGTACAGAACGCCAACCAACTCACTGGTTCAGGAAACGACACCACGTTGAATGGCAGAAGTGCAAATCCGAAAAGGCTCCAAGCAAACGGCGTTTGCGGGTTAGGAGAATGTCAGCGATCAGTAAAATTAGCTTTCGCTTGCTCGTACTGTTTGGAGTGGTATCATCCGAAACCTGCAAACGTGTCTCGGCAACAGGTACGAAAGCGAACTAGCTCCCAAGATGCGCTTCGGTTCTACACTGCATAGGCGACCATCCCACTCGTTGAGTGCTTACTTATCCCAGTCGAGAAGTGTGACTGGTTAACCGCAGAAGCCGACCAGAGGATGAACAATAAGAGCACTTTAATGGAAGCGTAGAGGCCTCTTTGCAACAAAACACTACACAACCCGCTTCCCCTAAAGCGCAGTCAGCCATATTCCCATCTCAGTCGTTTTCTCTTAATTTGGTAGAACGCCGGGCGAAAATTGCCCGTGTCTACGAGAATCAAACAGTACACATGGTAACGAAAATCAGGCGCCAATCGAAAAGTATGGTTAAGCAAATGCCAATAGACCTGACATCTAGCACTAACAAGGGTGAAGCAGCAAAACGTCAAACCCCGGTACCTGTAGCGCAAATGTCTCTTGTCGCGACAAAGCCCTCGGCACATCGGTTGCGTATGCAGAGATTGCTGCAAAAGTCAGCCGGGAGACCGCCGTTGCGGCCTCTTCTGTTTTAAACACAGTCACAGTGAATAGAGGGTCAAACAGTAAACAAACAACACTTGTCAGCAAAGCAGGACCAACGATTACCCTACCTTGCAAATCAGCGAAAAAGGGATGCAACAATAGTGCCCTGACTGTTGTATGCTCAACTGTCCCTGAATCTACCGCCATCACAGTACGGGGTAAGTTATCGGGCGACCAAGACCAATGTAACTCATCGCACGTGCTGATAAGTGTCAAAGTCAAACGTATGGACCTATTACGAATTACCCGTCGTCCAAACTCGCCACACTATGGGAAACGCATACATATCCGATTAGCATTAGAATGCTTCACCGACGTAGAAAACGTTTTGTTATCCACAAGCGCGCTAAAACACGGATCCTGTGGGATATGCATCCATCCTTGGAGCGCGCGACAAGCAAAGAAAACATCAAAGAGGAACACAGGAAGCAAGGTCGCCTAAACACCATCTCCATACACGGCGTACCAGAACGTCTTTCGAACGATGTTCAAGAGGTCGGAAAGCCCGAGTTAGGTTAGTGGCGGTTCATTCGTGATACAATTTTTTGATAATATTGTAGCGCTTTCGCTCACCAGGATACCTCTCTCACCAAATTATGGAGGATGCGGCCCTAGAATGCTAAAACTTGTAGTCTAAGAGCAATAAGCAACGGGTGATTTGAGTCGATGGTAGACGAGTGGGAAAAGTCTTTCATCTGAGCTTCAGTTAAAGGTCGCAGAAGCTTTGCAAAGTTCAACTATCAAAGCCCCTGAAGCAGCCAGCATACCGACGATGATACAAGTGGTTAACTTGACTGCAATTTTACTTGACCCTGACGTAGGTCTAAAGGAAGATTGCGATGCAAGTTGGCCGAATCAAGTTTCAGACGAGATATCATTATCCCGTCCGAAAAACGAGTAACTGCCGACCTTCCATTGGTCGGCATTCCCCCCCCCCCCACTTGACCTCTATCTGTAGACCGAGAAATTGGCCTGCTTGTATAGGAATGCTCAGGGTATTTAACAAAACTGGACAAAAATAGCCTATCCTAGTTTCGAATGCTATGGATATAGCGTCTAGTGCGAGGACGTCATCACCTCGCAGGCTAACCACTGTCACTGACAGTGGTAGATAGGTGGTGCTATATCCCAGTTAGTTTGTAAATTATGTAGCCCAGTCAACGTCCCCCATGGCTCAGTGGCTTAAGCTGCTGGCTATTTGGCATTTGCCGCTATCGGTCATGGGTTCGATCCTCCCTAGAGGACCGAGAGAATGTGCGCCACTGACGAGCCCCAATAGAGCGAAACGCGCCTGGTGCTTTTCCGTACTAGGCACTGCTACGTAGCTTGTGAACTATTGTGATGAAAGCCTTATCAGAATTGAAACTGAAAGATCGACAAGCTTCCGGGTCACATGATGCCATGGTTATCAATAGTAAATATCCCATTGTGTGATTAAAATTCGATGCAAGCGAACATATATTTTCAATAATTCCTCTTTAGGCTTGTACAATTAGATGTAGGAAATACAAAATGTTTGTCACATTTGAGAGGAGTCGAGCATTACAAATTTATCGTCAACGTAACTTTGGTTTGTGATTACAAATTTCAACTTTCCCTGTTTAAGTATACTCATGAATACGTCAGCGAGAAACGGTCCAAATGGATAGCATACAACAACTCCATCGTGCTGTTGATACAATTCACCGTTCAACAGAATCTGGATGTTGAAATTGCACTGAAGCAGCAGTTTCTTTACCGCCACTGTGTGTATGCCAATAGTTGCATGATTTTCTTTGACATAATCACAGATGTAATTTATTCTTTCAAATAACAGTACATTTGTAGCAAGTGAACTCGCATCGAGAGAGCACATGGTTAGGTCCGTGAAATTTAGTGCGCGCATGGTATCTACGAAATCAAAGCTGTCCTTAACGCTGTGAACAGCAACCCGTTTTCGAATAGGTTCCAAAAGCTCGACTAACCACCGCACGGTGTGTTCTTCATATCTAAGATTGGTCGTAGGGGACGTCAGGTTTATGCGTTTTGGGAAGACCATACAGTCTAGGAATTGGGGTGTCTGTGGGGCGTAGATTTTCACATACATTCTCACTGATGTAGCCACCGTTCCTAAGCTTTTTGAGACAGTTTCAGATATGAGTTTCGATCTGTTTTGTTTCGTCTTTCTCATCTAAGCAGCTTGGAAAACTTGGTATCGTCTGCCAATAGTACTTGCATTTATCCGATGTAAGGTTCCTTGGTCACAACAACTATACCAGCGCATTTATCTGACCGAGTAAGCAAAACATCTTTATTGCTAACTAGGTGGTTAAACGCCTGAATGTGCTCGTGTTTCACTGGGGTATGTTTCTTTATCCGAGTTCGGCGATATTGGAAGCATGCCTTTACTAGAAGCGAGTTAAACTCTTCTAACTGTGATTCAGATGATGGAAGCGATTGTGTCAAACATTTTGTTTGTTCCACATATAATTGTACAAACCTGAAGAGGATTTATTGAAAACCTATTTTATTTTGCATTGACTTTTAATCATTGGTATCACCGAGGCGTTGCTACACACGGGAATAACGGACGCTGAAGTTTTGCTACGATGCATATCGCTGATCCGGAATTGTAGGCGCACAAAAGCAGAAGGGATAGTCCTGTAGTACCGAAGCGATTTACAGTGCGAATCCGTGGAAGATTCAGACTCACAGTTCCATAACTGGCTTTGGTTCCACTTGCAGTTAAAAGGCAGAGACGCTTGCTTTATTGTCATGGTATACCGCCCCCTCAACTCTACGCCCGAAACCGACTGCCACCTAACGGCCGTTTTAAGATGCAGTTTACGGCGACTGTACACTCATATACTTAACGTGGATGATTTCAACGTACATTGTTTAGAAAATCCTGTCACGATGGGAGAACAATGCAAAGCCGAGCTACAAGATCTCGTAACCACTGTTCCTCTTTACAATCACATCACTTTGCCCACTCGGTTCAGAACAGGTAACGGGTCAGTTGTGCTGGATGTTGTGCTTACCAACAAGGAGCTCATGACGGATGCGTTGGTTCTAAACTGCCCGTTGGATCGCAGTGATCACGCAGTTATCAGTTTCACCTATGTCTGCCATGAGGAATAAGGGAATGAGAACGATGAGACTGTGCGAATCATCAGAAGTTGCAATCGAATAGCCAAGCTCGTCAGCGCTACAACTTGGCCATTCCTTGCTGAAGAACCCCCCGAAAGTCGCCTGACTCGAGTTCGTCAACCAAATTCAGTCAGCTGATTACAGAGACTTCGGAGATCAGAGTTTGCAATAAGCGTAAATAAGTTTCATTCGTTGGGAGCAGGACTCGAAATTGGATGACAATACGCAACGCAGCATGGGGAAGGTACAGAGAAGCTCCTGCGTCAGAAACATGGGACAAATACGTAGCCCACCGTGACTAGTGCACTCAACTGCTAAGAGTAGGCAAAGCCGAATATCAGCAGAAAATGGTAAGAACCTTCAGTGCAAACCACAAACTGCCGTACAAGCACGTCAATGGCATAGGAAAGGTGAGGCAAGAATTTCTTCCACTCAAGATGACCGATGGCCCAACAAGAACAGCTGTGGAATCAGTAAACGCACAGAGGATGCAATATGCTTCACGTTTCAGAGGATTTTTGTGATTATTTTACATACAATGTTTAACGATTGATTATTGTTATACTTTTTCATCAAGTTGCTTAACATAAATACTTCGCGAAATTCCTATTCCAATTCGGATGTTCTTACTAC